TACCTGTGATGATCGCGATGCATCTGATCTTGAAGCCAATCCAACAGGCTCTTCTTTTACCTGTGATGATCGCGATGCATCTGATCTTGAAGCCAGTCCATTACGCCTCAGACGGGCACCAGTCGATCATGATGATCAAGCTACTGAAATACATGAAACCCACCATGAAGAAACCACCAGCAATGAAGGTGAATTCTCCTTTGCCAGGCTTGCCCAGCCAAGGCAAGCATGAAGGAATTTTGGTTCCTATCATGCAGCCAACACAATGTATATCACTGTATATATTTTTTTGTTGCAAGTAGTTTTAAGTAACTATTATTATTTTTGGAATGTAGCCTGGAGGTGGCATTTTCAGTATATCACTATGCTTGTTCACAAATGAATGATTTCTATATAATTTAGCCACGTTTGAGAGTTTTGAAAGGTAATTGTTTATTTTCGCCTTCATGCATGAGTACTAATGTTATATTCCCTCTTGAAAGTGGATATTAAAGGGTATTCATGTGCAGCTTTCGTAAGTGTCATAATGCAATCATCTTGATAGAAAAGATGAGATGTTAAATAAGAGTATCAACTTACTACTATAATTCGAGGTCTCCCTCTTTCTAATTGGTGTAAGATCAAAGATCCCTGTGGAATCTGTATGTTAGGGTGCCTTGGCAATGTTGGTTGATTTTCATAACAATCTCTTTTCACAAAAAAAAAAAAAAGGAACAGAACCATAAAGTTCCACCAAACAATATTCTCCCTGGCCATGGACTATAGTAAAGAAAACTGGATGATATATAAAAATACCTTTTTTTCTTTGTTTCTCTTGCTAGACAAGTGCACATGCTTTAGTAGTCCTCACTCTCCAGTAGTGGGGAAATTGAACCTCTTTAGGAAGGGTATCCTGCCCGACCTCTTCCACATCATGTCCCAGAGTATTTAAGCTCACGAACCACAACCTCCAAATCACTCTTTACCCCGTTAGTATAGTCCAAACAAAAGGTTAATTTTACCAACATTTCATGCATCATGCTGCAGTAGCATGGTCCCATTTTAAAGATTTCACCACATGCGTAGTAATTTATGTTTACATAGTATCTAAATTAGTTAAAAACGACAAACGAATCACCATAGTTGATATAAGAAAAAACGAGAAAAAAACAAACCCACTTGTCGACGAAATTAAGAATATAGTAATTAAAACTCCGAGCTTAACCTTGCTAAGAAGCAAAATTATCCTCTCCCTAGTGAACATCCCTTTCATCCTCACCACTTGACGAAGCGTTTGGAGACTCACATTTCACAAAACTTTCAAAAGCCCACAAGAAAATAAGGGGTTTAAAGACACTATGAACATTGGTTAAAGGAAGACATTGGAGGGATTAAAACCAGTCCATCACTTCTTATCCGAAGGTAAAGTAAAACACAGAATGGGCAACTTGGCTTCCCCGTCTCTCCCAACCAGCTTATATAAATTTCGAAACGCCACCTTAATTATCCATCACCCACAGCAACCCCCACCTGCCTTCCTTTCTCTTTCTCCCCTTATCTCCTCCTTTCCCACTTTCATGTCCCACTTTTCTGCTACTCTTCTACTTTTCCCAGACAAAACCCTCCCTCTTTTTTCTCCTATATGTATTTGCTTTCATGGGTAGAAGAGAAGCAAGCTTCTTTCGAGCATCTTAATAGAAAAAATCTGTCTTTTTTTCCATTTTTTGGTTCTTTCTTCTTATTTTTGCGTTAGCTTATGAGCAGGATGACACGTTCTTTGAAAATTCTGTCGACGGTGGCAGCTCCACCGCCAGAGATCGTGCCCCTGGAGACTGATTTTGTTGTGATATTAGCTGCTCTGCTTTGTGCATTGATATGCGTGGTGGGTTTCATTGCGGTGGCGAGATGTGCGTGTTTC